GACAACTCTAAAATGGGGGGTTTTTTTTTTCCTATTCTCACCTTATTTTTGTTATTTGTGAATGATGGAACCCATGATTTAGCTTGTTTAAGGCTTTGTTCATTTCATGACTCAAGTCATATTACTACAGTGTTTTCTCTAACATAAATTCAAATTAAACATTTTTGCTGCAATATTTTTCTCTCATATCACAACCCAAGTCATGACTTAAGTTGTGCAAATGAGCACACCTTAATATTAGTTATAGAGTAGTTGTTATTTCCAGAGCTTGATTTTGCCTAATTATGAAATGTTTATTTACTTTAAGTAATTTCTTGGTTTCTTTGTGTTGTCCCATTCTTAATGCTTCTAATTTGTCGGGAAATATATTAGATGATTTGATGTATGAGTTCGGCACTCGGGATAGGTAATTTATACGTCCGATTTGGATAACACAGTTGGGATTGGTGTCCTTAAGCATCAGATGTAACAAGGATATTTTATTATTTGATTAATAAAATAGTCTATTCATTATTTATGTGCATGTATTATTGAATACTTTATGAATATCATAGAAAATTCCACGATTATTTATGTAACCTTAAATATTATATATAAGTGTTATATACGAGAGGATAATATTTAAGGATATAATAATCAAAACGATTTTCGTAATGAATTTAATTAAAGTTTCAGAATCTTTAATTAAAACGTTACTAATACATGCCTTTCCTATTAAGAATGGAATGGTGTTATCCGCATTATTAATATAAAGGGATATTGAATGAGTGTATTATGCATAATGAGATTATGTAGAACTCAGACACATATACAATTTGATTTTCTGATAATTTTCGTTAAGTATAGAAGATGAAATTTGAGTATACTAATGGTCATATATAGAACGATCTTAATCCTGAGTTATTAATAAACTCCTATTTGTGGATTCATATTCTTTGACTTACTCGAAATTGATTTTGAGATTGTAAATCCTATTTCTTGTATCTTGGGAACATGATGAAATGGATAGACGGGAATGCTAATATACAAGATGGAATCCATTCATTCTTCTTTGAAGAAGTATATAAATAATTTCCTTGAAGGTTGATTCGATAGTTTAATAACTAACGAGCTCGTATTCATGAATGTGTTTTATGAATATACTATTCATTAGAGAATCAATGGTACTCAAGAATAAAGATGTAATTAGAGAGGTTAACGGATTTTACCTAGCTCTAATTATGAATTATTTATGGAGGATCGATCTATATGTAGTGACTATATCAAATGGACACTTCAAGTTCTTAGAAGTAAATTTTGTTTATAATTTTGAGAGTACAATTCTAAGTTTTTAGTGGAGTAACTTTTGAAATTAATAGAATTAACTAATTAATTAAAGAGTTTAATTAATTATTAATTTTATTAGAGCTCAGAATTATAGGTCCATAAGTGCCCATGTCATCCTTATATTATTTACAAGACAATATGAATTATCGGGATTTTATTTCTCTCGCGAATAATTAATTGAGAATTAATTGTACATTAAATAATGTGATTATTTAATTATTTTTGTCACACACTGTGGTGGGACTACAAGTGGCGTGTGACACTAGGAAAATCCCACTAAGATTTAGTTGCTTGCTCTCCAAGTAATCCGGTTTACTTGTTCGACAAGTTTTCCAATTAAATTCAAAAAGGAAAGTAAGATGTTACTTCATTTAAAATTGAATTTGAGCTAAAATTAGAAATTGGAGAAAGCATTTTTTCTCTCTCCTCCTTAGTATGGCCGGCCACCCTATAGCTAAAGGGAAGAAAAGTTAGTATCTAAAAGAAAAAGGAAAATTGTATTTTTAATTAAATTAAAAATATAGTAGTTACCAATTTCCTATTTGCTCTGTCTATAAGCAAAGGCTTCTCCTAATTGTCTATAAATAGGAGACAATAGGAATTGGAGAAGATTGATCATTGATTTTGATCTCCTATTTTTTCTTAGAGTTGGCCGAATTCCATAGAGAGAAAAAGAGAAGAAAAGTTTTTCAAATTTTCTCAATTCTTTCACATACATGCGTTGATAGTGAAAGAATACTAAATTAGTGAATGATCCTTTCCGATATTTTTACCTTGAGCCCACACTCATCGTCTTGCAAAATCAAGGAGTAGATGAGGAAGGCTTAGGTGTTTTAAGAAAGCTTTGGAGCGAGGATCGTTCGTTGGCCAAAGAATTTCAAGTTATCATCCTAATCGTCGACAATGTATTAATTATCTATTCTTATAAATTAATAAGATTAATTTATTATTACATAAATTAATATAATCTATAGCGTATTCAAAAGATTTTATGAAAATTTTTTGTTATACATGATCCGCACTACCACGCTTTCGCACTCGAAAACCTTTCGAAAACTAACAAACACAACTTAGATTTTTAGAGTTTAGGAGGCCTAAAATACCTCCGTAGTCATTAGGAGAATTAGTGCTTAAGAAATGTTCATTTACTCAATTTTTAATAGGAATATTGGAATCACGTTTTGAGCATATTATCCTATTAGGCACTCGGGGAAAGGTAATTGGATTAACTAAGGGTTCTTGACTAATAAATTAGGAGATTCACGTACTAGTAAATTAATGTAGAATAATTATAGTGAAACCAATGCTCTGGTACTTTTATTACTTGTTTTCGTCACTTTATTTTATTTGCTTTGCTATTTTTATTAGTTCCTTTTATTCATTTTTTATCTACTCATTTAAACAATCTTAGAGCCAATCAATTTCAGTACTTAACAAAAATTAAGCGCATTTCTCGTGAGATCGACACTCTTATTCATACTTTATTTAAGGCGACTTGTGCACTTGTAAGCACAAATCACGCAACAAAGAGAGAGGGATGAGAGAGAGAGAGAGAGAGAGAGAGAGAGAGAGGAAGAGAGGGGATCGAGAAAAATATTTAGAGTTTGGAAATAAGAGTGGGAGTAAAATGAAAGAGATTATTCTGAATTATAGAAGGGAAAGAGAAACGTTCGAAATTTAAGTGAAATATATGAGGGAGAAAAGTCTATTCTTTTTCAAAAAATTTTGACATTTAACAATGGTTTCCTAAAAACTATCGTTAAATATTGACATTAGATGACGGTTTTTAAAAAATCGTCATCTAATGTGCTCACATTTTCTTTGTTTAAATTTTAGGTAATCTTGACAAATACCCATTGAAAGTGTATGGATCAGGATTTTTACCCTTTACTCTTGATTCATAACCTTTTTAGTCAAATGATTACATGGGTATTTATCAAGAGTAAGTGTTAATAGTCGAGACTCATGCACTCTCAAAGGTAAATTTTTCATTTTTTCTTAAATATTTGTCGTATACATTAGACGATGGTTTATAAAACCATCATCTAATGTCTAACATTTAACAATGGTTTTTAGGAAACTGTCGTCTAATGTATCGTATAAATTTTTGAAAGACGGAAATTTTCATTCCGCGTTTTTTCACCACATTAGACGACTATTTTTGCTAAAACGTCGTTAAATAAGTGTTGTCTAATATAGAATTTGTAGTAGAGTTATAAATTATTTTATAGAAAAACTAAATTTAGCTAGTGACCACATGGCTGTTTCTATAAATTTCAAATTAAAAAAAAAAAAAAAGAAAAGCAACTTATGGAGCACATGTCTCTTTCTATAACTTTTTTAAAAAAAAAAAAGGGTTTTTTTTTTTTTTTTTTTTTTTTTTTTCTCAGGTTTAGGCCTCGACACCAAAGCAACTAAACAAATTATTTAGACACTAATTGGCCAAGAAAAAAGTTTGAAATGCCGCTTTCTTGAAAAATTCAACTATCAATATAGCGCCTAAAATCCTAATGTACTTATGGGAAATAGTAAAAAATAGGCCAATATGAAAAGTTTAAGAAAATATATAGGCCAATTTTTAGTTATAGAAATTAATAGGTCATAACTTATCAAGTTATGGTTCATAACCAGATAAGTTATGGACAAACTTCTCAAGTTATGGTTCATAGCTAGACAAGTTATGAACAATTATGGACAATAACTTGTCAAGTTATGGTTCATAACCAGACAAGTTCAAATATTGACCTATTTTCCTCTTTCTCTCTTTACTTATTTGTTCGGCTAAAATTTGTCAAGGCCAAGGACCAAAAAAAAAAACCACAACCAATCACATCATATTGCATAGTCTAAGTGTTGTATTCATTTAGTTAGCTCTTTCCACGGTAACTAATAAGATATTTTAATTATAGTCATAATTCGATCAAATTTTTTAGTAAATAACCTTCCAAATCGCATCCCAGGCACAAACAAGGCTATAATAAATACAATCATAAATTGCTAAGAAAAGTCTGAAACGATCAATGCAGTTTTCTTTTGCAGCCTTTGAGTTATAGTTGTAAGTGCTGATCACGTGCTTGCTCATGAAAGCACTGATCAGGGTGGTAGATAAAATGCAAAACCACTATTTACACTTAAATGCCAATATATATCTTTGACAAACCAAAGATTTTTAAAGATGAGAAACAACTTAAATGCAGATGACAGTTGAATAGTGTGTGTAATAAATATGAACTTTCAGATTTTCCTCTTCATTTTATCACATTCTATCTGATAAATATGGTCAACAAATTGTTTATCCTTTTTTGGAATTATATATAGCTTGCCAACCGTTTTCTTGAATAAAACCTTTGGGTCAATTTGACTTGGTTTGAGAGAGAGGAAACCATGAGCTTCAGCCCAAAGAAATTAAATACATTAGGCTCTCCCTCTGATATTTTTTAATTAATGGGTTGGGTCAAATATTGAATATAAAGAAAAAAAAAACAAGTTCACTTTGTCGCTTAGCAAAGGAAAAAGAAAAAAAAAAAAAAGAAGAAGATATTTTAAACAGATATATGTATCCATGTTTCAAGTTTATCTTGGTGAGTCCAAAAAGAAACCTATACAAGATTAACATAGAGATTAATAGCCAACAAGGAAAAAAAAAAGAATTATTATAGTTTGTGACAACTAAATTTCAACTAGGCTTGTGCCTAATTTAATCACCTTGTATTATTAACATTGCATGTCGATGAACATATAATATCTTACATTATATGTTTCCTGAACTGTTTTTTCAGTTCATTCATTCACTATTACTACCAATAATACACTATGCTCAAATGAAAACACAATTATCTATCCATAAATAAACCCCCACTCAAATTACATCTTAACAAACCATATAAAATCTTTTTTTTTTTTTTTTACTAAGGAAACTTTTTTTATTATTTGCATGCTAATTGAGACAATAAAATGCTTGCGCTTTGACTAACTTCAGCCCTCTTTCTCTTCTTCTCCATCTCCCCCTCAACTTCCAATCTCACACCAAAAAGCTTAGGCCTTTGATCACCATCAACTTGATTTTGTTCTTTCTGATCATCCAAACGAGTGTGCATAGCCACCAAATCAAGAAGCTCTTTACACTTGCTCTTCATGCTCGTCAGCTCAGAGCTCAACACCCCATTTTCTTTCTTGAGCCTCTTGTTCTCGTCCACTAGGGTTATGAACTCGGACGACGAGGATGTCGAAGAAGACCTTTGGTCTTCGTCGACGACAGACTCTTGAGGCCCCGGTGGAGGCGCGGCGCCAGCCGCCTCGGCTTGGATTAGGGCACCGGGTTGCTGCTTGTTGGCCCATGCTTTTCTTCTACGAATTTGGCATAAGTTGTCCTTTTCGCCCTTCCGGAAGTTGTCGTTGCTGAACTCCCACCGGCTTGTTGAAATCTTACGGAATCCCTATATGTGAAGTAATGTGGTGTTTTATTTTTTATTTTCATGAATTGGACAAAAAAGTTTAGCGGCTGAAAATTAGGAAATATTAGAAGAGCAATTGCAATCACACTACTCATGGCTATCATGATTTTAACTTATAGTGTTGGATAAGAGTGTTTGTTCCAACTTTTGGAATCAATCAATTGAAGATATTAACTATTAAATTACTTTTGAGGTGATGTTCTACCAAACTTGGACAAAAGAAAAGAATATTTGTTGATATGAGAAGTACCATATGGAATATCATATTGTACTCCCTAAAGCATGAAAAACGAGAAAACATAAAAATAAAAATAAAAATATAAGAGGACCAAGTCATGTGTTTCCTACCATATTAGAAGCCCCTAATAAGTTGAGATGGTTGGTTTTTTCTATAATTTGAACTTACGTTTTAAATTTGTATATGATTGTATAGAAATTAATATGTGAGAAATTTCCACACGTATTACGACTTTGCGTAAAGGATCAAAAAACCTAATAGATATAGCGATCGGATTCTTTTGTGCGTGTTTTCATGTTTCTCTTAAGAGATCAAGTGTGTAAATTCATGCACTTATATTATTGGACAATTTGTGATTATGATTTATTTATTTATTTCTTTCTTTCTTTCCTTTGTAACAAATTATCAGGAAATATGTTTCATAAAATTATATGTAATAGCACCTTTTTATAAATAAGGTTAATTAGGTCAGAAAATTCCAGTTAAACTTTTTCACTAGAATAAACTATACTAGAAAAATAAAATGTAAGAACTAAAGACTTAAAAGTCAACATTTGCAAACTTGGATCTTCTTTCTCTGATCTAATTTTTTTTTTTTTCTTTTAAAGATCATAGTCATTATCTTTGCGCATATAATATGGAGATAAAATTGCAAAGTGCATGCATTATTAACAAGTTGATTCGAGAAATATAACTATGATAATAATATTGGTATTAGTGAAAATTGACATACATAAGTGTTGAGCTGCCTGACAAAGCTAGAAAAGTTGCTATGCTTGAAGAGGGTTGGGAGGAGATCCCGGGCGAATTCCGCCGGCTGCCACACCACAAACGCCGTCCCTTCTTCGTTCCACGAGATGACATCGTCGGTCACCGGATCTTCAACCAGCATGTATGTCTTCAACAAGAAAGGGGGTGGAGTTGACTTTCTCATGTATTCCACCAAACCCTTCTCACAAACTACACCTAATTCCATAATCTTTATTATGGGCTAGGGATAATTGAGTGGAGTTAGAAGAAGAAGAAGGATGGCAAAAAGAAGAAGAAGAAGAAGAAGGATGGCAAAAAGAAGAAGATCAAGAAGAAGAAGAAGAAGAAGAAGAAAAAGAAGGTAAAGAATAGAAGATCAAGGGTGAGAGGAGAAGAGAAGAAGGGCAGTTAAGAACTCCCAACCCCAACAATAGAAACCCAACACGACTCCACAGTTCATGAGAAATGCAAGGCTAATTTCTTTCTTCCTTCTCCCCAAAAGAAAAGAAATGGTAATTGAAACGTATCTTCTAAGCCTTGCCCACTTCTTATATAGTGGCAATATTAATAAAATTCAACATGGCATGCATAATATTGCAACTTGGTCTAAACTCTACAAATATATAAAAAATCTAATAGGATTTTTATATTAATAAAAAAAGTATATTTATGGTTACTAGTCGTACCCCTAAATATTACTTAACAATATATGCATAATTGTCAACCCTTTGATCTTCCGTGATTAGCCCCTTTCTCAAATTTTTTGATGGCTAGCTAGCTAGGATTAGTAGATCTATATGACCAGTCAACTAAAGACATAAAAGTATATATCAGGCGATACATAAGGGGCCCCCAAATTTGAAAATTGTACAATACGGTTTTCTTTAGAGCAGTTGGAACATTTTGTACACTAAATGATTACATAAGCAAAGAAATTAAATATATAAGATAGTTTTGATGATCAATTGGTCAATAGTTGAGATCAACGAAATACTGAGCAAAATGCTCTTTACATTAAATAAGACAGAATTATACATTTACGTTTTTTTTTTTTTTCATTTTTATATATATGTATAAGTGAAAATTGTAATATAACTTATAATATTAGACATGTATGTAACATTAAGAAATTAATTATCCAAACCACCATTATATATATTTTTATAACGTCAATATGCACATTGTCATGTTAAACTAAACAAATATTATATTACGTTTCTCACCTCTATATGTTACATGACATTAAGGTTCTCTTATAAGACCGTAGATTATATATATATATATATATATATATATATATACGAACATTGAGAACAAGGAAATGAATAGAATTGTATGGGTTTTGGCTATATGAACAAAGGGTCGAGTTTGGTGAACACGTGGAAACAGCAGTATGTTTACCTTATTTTTAACACTAATTCACTTCACACACGCACATATATATGTATATGGATATACATATTAGTTTAAGAATTTTAGGTGTGCTGGTACTTTCTTATAGCCATTTTTGATTTTCTCTCTCTCTCTCTCTCTCTCTCTCTCTCTCCCCCTCTCTCTTTCACTGCATTAACGTGCTAATTCTTCTATCAAACATCTCTACCGATTGCTTATTTTGATTTCTTCCAACATTGATCGTGATATATAATTCTTTAGGGAGTACTATTTTTTTTTTTTTTTTTTCCCGTGAGAGAAGTAACTTTTTGACTTTATGTGCTATCCATCATTTTCTAGTTCTCTTGGAAACAAGTGCATGTTTAACTCACTAATATTCATCAAGCAAGTATGTGTCACCCTCCACAAGTTATGATTTTTATTAATCGATATGAAACTTTGGAATTGATGGTATACCAGTTAATTTATGATTAGAAAATAAATTACCATGATTATTTAGATCATACCCCATGAGGTTAATAAAATCATTTGATTTCCAAACTGTGAGGGTATTTATCCAAACTGTGACTCCTAATTGGGCTCAAATTTCATTTGATTTCCGGAGAATTCATTTAAGCAAAGATGGAACGATCATATAACAGTTTGGATTTCTTGCAATCCAATCATCAACTTTAACTTCTTTTTTTTTTCAACCATTGTTAAAATCATCTTTAAAAAAAATAGAGAATTTACCCTTAAAAGTGCATGAATTTAGACCATAATTATTTAATTAAAAAAATTATAAATTAAAAATAAAAGATAAAAGTCATACTTGAAATATTTGTCAAGGTCACCTTTAATCTAATATTTCCACCATATATACTTTGTTTCTCTCTCTGTCGCTATTTAGAAATATAATATTTCCACCAATTACCCAAATTGTAATTTTTCATCGGGACTATAGTCCTTTCTGATAGGAGCGTGCGCACCACGCGCCTGTGTGAACACATGATAGAAGAGTTAGGGACGGGTTAGAAGAAATTCGTGGCATTTGGACATAGAAAAAGAAGGTTCTTTATTTTGGTTGGGGTACAGCTGAGCTTTCTTGACCGGATTTTAATCTTCTTTATCTATAAATTTTCCTTTAATTTAACATATAATTTATTTTCTCCTCAAAAAAAAAAAAATAATTTTGTTGGTTTCTGTCCATAATAGGCTCTTCTCACCAACCACACATGGTTTGTTTTTCCAGTCGGAATAGAAAGTTAGATTCGAGGCATAATGTGAAAAAGGGCGTTCTCTAGTCTTTACAATGACAAACTGCCGACGTTTGCAATGCATTTAGGTCATACTAAGATCATCTATATATGGGCTTTCAACCCAACTTGGCCAAATCAAACACGGACATGCAATATTGTTTCTCCAATGTTTGTAATACATACATATAGTCATATAATCTATATGATAAATATAACTTTTTTAGTACGCTCGTGTAATATCATTTATACTGTGTAACGCTCAATTTCTTTAAGTGCAATGGTTAACGTTGTATAAAGTTAGGTGTCACACGCACGTATAAATGATATTACATAAACATATCAAAAAGAGAAATATTAGCGTCATTTTCTTTGTCACTTTCTACTGTTTAACATCTAACATGATATGTTATAATTTAAATAGAAAATAAAATAGTGAGATTCACATGCCAAATAGTTAATATGAAAAGAGTGACGTTAGCATTTATTTACTAAAAAAATTATGTGTCTGACTGATTTAAATGCCGGACTTGAGACAATTCTATATGTATATGTGTATTGTTGCTCCAAAAATATGGTCGGAAGATTCAATTTTCAACTCAAACATCAATATTTCTCTTCTTCCCCCCTCTTCTTTTTCTTTAGGGTGAACCCAAACTTGTCCTATCGAAGACCCGACAAACCAAACGAATGTTGTTCCAAGCCTAAGCCAACCTAGCTAGTAGCTACTAGCTACATACTTATAGACTAATGTTTTTCTTTTTCCTCATATTCCAATTTCAAAGGAGAAAAATAGATATAATTGTCGCTGTGTAGAAAGAGGCGCTACTTTGTTTTACCAATGGATCAATAATGTCTAATATACATGTTTTTAGTTGACTCTAAATTTTTTTTTATTTTAAATTTTGTTTGTGGTATTGATTTGTGTAAAATAAAAGGGATGTTGTTTTTGGCAATGTGGTATGGCGTCTTGTTTTTGAGATTTTGTTTGTATTGTATAATAATAGATGTGGTCTCTCTACTATCTCGTTTTATTTATATGTCTAATCCGCTAGAATTTATTTTTTACCATATTGTGGGTAATCTTTGTGCTATGCATCTTAGGGTCCGTTTAGTTCGCTGATTCGAGTTTTAATTCGAGTTGAGATGTGGCATTGTGTGTGAGCTTTTTACTGTAACAAAAAAGTTAGATGTGACTGTTTATGAGAGCTTTTTACTATAACAAAACTCGAATTCTAAACTCGAATCAGCGAAATGAACGGACCTTTAGTCTCGATCAATTCAGGTTCATAATCGATTGTGCTGTATATTATTAAAAGAACCATTTATATGCTCAATAGTAGGTGTGCCCTTTTGGTGTCTCGTTGTAGGAACATGGCACACGTTTTATCTCTTTGTGCATTTCATTAAAACTTACAGATCGATCTAATTTTTACGAGATTATTTGGGTTAGCATTAGTGGTGTATTCCAAGATTTAGAATGCAATAACCTTTCCAAAAAAAAAAAAAACTCTAAATATCTTATTAAGGGAATGTCATTTTTGGTTCCTAAATATGAATCAAATTTCATAATGTGTTCCTTGTCTTATTAGGGCTTAGTGTCTGGTATTCAGAATGTCTCACGACGTGTACGGAATCCATAAAATTGCCCCAATTAAGCCCCTGTGGTAAAGTGATTATAAAAGAAAATGAATATAAAAAATATACATGTGATTAACATGAGCAGTTTATGGGGACAGGCAGGTAATTTCACAAGGAGATGGAGTTGATTCATAATTTTGAGGAAATTACACGTTTTCCCTTAAAATATATATGTCTCGTCACGAAATGCCCCACAAACTTTCATTTTAGCCTTTTTTTTTCTCTTTCCGAACATTAGTAACTCTTGTAAATTTTCCCTCTCTGTTAAATTTTTGATAGAAAATGCCGTTTGAAATGTTAAAGTTAACAAAAGAACTCCTTATATGATGATTTTTAACAAAAATAACACGTATTATACAAATAATAAGTGTTACTCGGTTAGCTCCTCCTTGTACAGTCACACGGAAGTGCAATTACACATCATGAGTTACCATTTTTTCTATCAAACCTCACTTTCTCCTTAATTTAGTTGACCTAAAAAACTTTGGGGGTCCATCAATGGCAATCAAAAGTAATAACAAAGTGAAAAATTAATGAAGGAAGAAAATTTACAAGAGTTACTAAAGTTCATTCGCGGGCATTTGAGTTTTAGGTAAATGACGTCCATAACCCATTGGTATTTTTGTCGATATTATCTATAAACCAAAACCTCGATAACCCTATGGACGTTGACATTTTCATCTTAAATGGGATTAACTTGGTATACTTTAAGTCAAATATTCATAGAGTTCAAGAGCCGCAAGAAATCGAGTGAAGAAAAAAGTGTGTGAAACATACAAATTTTTATACATATCTGATAGGTTATAAAACAAAGACATGTTGGTAGAGATGCAAGAACGGGCCGGCCCGGCCCATTCTCCTTAGGCCCACACGGGTTACGGACCGGGCCGATTCAGCCCACAAATTTTGTAGGCCGGGCCAGGTCGGCCCGTATAAGAATGACCTTGGTCCAGCCCACACCACGATCCATTTTTACGTAGGCTAGGCTGGGCCATGCCGCGGGCCAAGATGGGCCGTGCCATGGGCCTTGAGTGGTGCCCACTCAAGGCCCATCTTGGCC